AGACCAGTTACAAACTGGAGGTTCCCATGACCTCATCCTCACATTTGATAACTATCCAGAGGAATTCGTGGAACTTCAAAGGTTATTATTACTGGTTTATTATGAAGGGTACACTTAGGAATAACCAAATGGAGGGAATGTCCAGGGCAAGGCACAGGGCATGGGACAAACGGAGACCCTGTGCCCTTTCAGGCACTCCACCCTCCAGAACCTCCACTTGCTCAGCAACCCCAGAGCTCATCAAATTCGTTAAGAAAGCCTGCCAGAGCTTAATCTCCAGCCCCACCCCCCTGCAGGTGAGTGGATGAGGTTAGAAATTCCAACTCTCTAACCCTCTAATCTAAGCATTAGTTACTTCTCAGCCCTGGGCTCCACCCTGAGGCTATCTAGAGTTCCAGTTCAAAGCAACCCCATTAGCTTAAACTATTAGCCTCAGCCATTATCAAAGGGGCTCCTTAAGAGTAACAAAAGACACTTCCTGCCATTTTAAACAGCAGGGGACCACAGCCGCTTCTCTGAACACCATGACAAAGGAGCTTATCTCAGAGGTCTGTAAGCCTCTGTCTCAGAGTCTTATCTCAGTCAGTTTTACTTTGGTCCAGGCCTCCACACCGGTGCCCTTCACTGAACAGAAGCACCTCACAGCATCAAACCGTTCCTCAAGACTTCCTATGTTTAGAGATGAGACCCTGGGAGGTGCTGGTTCCATCCTCTCCTTCAGCTGTTGGCTGGAGAGGAAGTAAGTGGCACTCGGTTTTCACAGGCTGATGTCTCAGGAGTCAGGGAAGAAATGCAGCCTCAGCTGCGTTTCCAGTGAGAGTCTTGGTGATTAGAGCTTGAAAGTGACAAACTGTTACATAAGCTTTCAAGGACACAGACGCAGGCCAAACAGACAGACACACAAGCATTTTTGATTATCAAATACACCAACTAAAGGATTTCTGTTCTAAGAGGTACAGAGTTGAACAACATAGCATCAAATTTATGTCTAAAATCAACCATAGATCAATAGCCAGAGGGCTTCAAAACAAAGAAAATGCAACGGGAAAGAAACGAAAAATCTGGAAACACACCATCAGAGAAGAGGAAAGCCAGAAAGTTCACAATCTTATCAAAAGGTTCTAAAACTACCTAATTATTAGAAAAACACAAGCTTCTGGCAAGCTGGACAGAGATAAGAATAGGCAAAGATGGGGCCTGAGGAGATGGCTCAGTGGTTAAGAGCACTTGCTACTCTTGCGGAGGACAGGAATTTGGCACCCAGCACTCACATCAGGTGGCTAACAACTTCCAGTAACTCCATCTCTGCAGAGGATCCGGTGCCCCCTCTGGCCTCCACAGGCACGGACACACATGACTGCACACACACATATACATGAAAATAAAAATACCTCTTTAAAGAGGAAGAAATAAAGATACAGAGATTAACCCTCTGCCTGGATGCTGGCCGAGGAGCAAAGCGGTAGGCATGAAGCCTTCATGAAGTCGACCGGCAATCTTTTGTCAAAGGATGAACCAAGCACACACATTCTGGCCAGCAACTTTGCACTGGAGTATGGAAATCCTCACAGTGGACCCTGCAGAAGACATCTGGAACAGCTGAATTTGTGAGGCAGGGGATTGGTTAGAGACCAACTCCAAATCCACCAGAGACCGAGGTAAAGAGGTCACCATGCACCATGATACACAGGGGCACTTCACATACAGAGTGAGGTGGGAAAATCATAAAAACAAGGTTAGTGTGGTGGTTTGAATAAGAATGGCATCCATAGGCTCTTATGTTTGAACACTTGGTCCCCAGGTGGTGGAATTGTTTGGGAAGGATTAGGAGGCATGGCCTTTTTGGAGGAGGTGTGTCACTGGGGGAGGGCTTTGAAGCTTCAAAAGACACATAACATTCTCAGTGTGCTCCTCTCTGTCTGCCTCCTACTTTTGGACCGAGACGTGAGTTCTCAGTTGTTCCTGATGCCATCCATACCTTTGCTCTGCCATCATGGACTCTAACCCTCTGAAACTGTAAGCCCAATCAAACGCTTTCTTGAATGAGTTGCCTTGGTTATGGTGTTTCATCACCGCAACAGAAAAGTAACTAAGGCAGGACCACAGAAGCAGCATCTGGGAGGTGGAGGCAGGAGGATCAGAGCTTCAGAGACATCCTCTACCACAGAGCAAGTTGGAGGCCAGTTTAGGCTATGTGAGACCTTAAAAAGAAAACTATTCTGAAAGGAACAGTCTAGACAATAGTGCTGAGGAAAGGTGATGGAGGGGAGGCTGGCGGTAGTCTATGCTGGGCTGTCAGACCCCGTAAACGGACAGATGCCATGTTCTCTTCCTCCCCAAACCCAAGGTACAGGGAACGAAGGTTTAGTGAGCGCTCACTGTGCAAGGGCTAGGAGTTTCTCATTGCACCATGTGCTGCTCACAGGCTGGGGGTTAGCACCCTTCTTTCCCAGTTAAGGAACATGAGGCTCAGAAATAACCAGGCCAAAAGGAAGAAAAGAAGAAAATCCCCAAGCAACTGAGCCTTCTTGTAATCTTTTCCTGCCTTTCTTTCTCCTGGTTTCTAAAGGAAAAAAATCAGTACTGTGCTTTCCTGACCTCTGAGCTGTTTTATGCAATAGCTTGGAATGTCTTCCTTCTCATACCTCAGGGGACACTAGTCCTTCTACTAGCAAAGACAGCTACACCACCTGGCTGCTTCTGTCATCTTCTCCCAGTTTCTGCCTAGGAGCAGGGCCAGAGGGGATCTTCAAGCTCATTCTCCTCCTCTGTAGCCATCAGAGAAGCTCTTCTCTTGGGAGTGTGGCAGGTCTAGAGAGTATAAACCCTCTTCAAGGCTCCTACTCTAATTTCTGAGGTTAAACTGGGTTCCATTTACAGGGAACTGGAGACACCCTTCCTCAGCTATCCACTCTGATCTGGGTCTCCAAGCATCTCAGAATCAAGACATAGCAGGCAGCTGAGACAGGGGAAATTTATAACAGAAGAGAAATACACTCCCAAGGTTTGGTATAATATAAGCAAAACGACAATGCAAACCCTCTATAAGATAGGAAGATTGCAGAGCCCCACCACATGCAGCGTGCTACGGAGCACAGGTAGGTCAAATCATGTGTATTAAACCCACTCACAGCTCACCCCACGGATAAATTCTGATGGCAGCCACGGAAAGCTGTGGACTCTGTCATCCATTCCCTTTCCTCCCACTCTTGACACCAGTCAGCGTAGCCGAGTCTTTCTCAGGCCCCCACACAAAGTATTGTAAACATTCAAGGATGATGAGCTCCAACTTGTAGTACACCGCTGTGGCCTCATCTAGCTGCACAGTGAGCTGTTTCTGTCTTAAATTTTTACTAAGGAATATTTACTCAACGGAGGAGAAAAGTGTTAGCCAAAGGAAACGCTGCAAAGTTGTGGTTTATACATGAAATCAAAACAAACTCATACAATGTTTATCCTCCCCTTCTGGGGGAAGTAGAGACGTGAGCTAGTTAACAATCCAATTATGCCATACTGCTTACAAAGCTTCAAGCAGGCCTAGCTGTGGAAAAAGAGGCCTGAGAGACCGCAGGGCTCTTGAGGCCTGAGATTCTTCTTCTGCCAACCTGCTGCTGAGCTCCGCCTCTCTCCATCAACTCTGGAGGCTCTGGGGCCTTTAGAACCTGTAAACCAGCACTCAGCAGGGAGGGGACGCTCCGTCTCTGACCTCTGAGCTGTTCTGTACACAGCGGGGAGTCTGCGCCTTCCTTTCCCTTCCCCACGCTCCGGTTTCACGGAGTTCTGGGAACCCGCCCTCCTATTTCTCTTGCAAATCTCTTATAGTTTTGTTGTTCTTCTTCTTAATTTCCCCCCTTCAACCTGGTAGAATCTTCAACTTTAGGGATGTACACTAGGTTGCACGTGAGTGGTGGGCCGATTGATTTTTACATCTCAGTTATGTTTATTTGATTAATTCTTTGCCCATTTCTCAACAAGCAACGCGCATTTCCAACGGAGTATTGAGAAGTGAGGACTAAACTTTTACATTTTAAGATCTCTCTCTCCCTTCCTCCTTCCTTTTGAGACAGAGCTCATGTTCTCTATGCTGGCCTCTCTGTGTAGCCAAGGATGACCTTGAACTCCTGATCCCCCGGCTTCCACTAGGCTTGCCCCACATACCTAGTTTGTGCAATGCTATGGATCAATCCATGGCCTATGAAATTCTAAGCAAGCACTCTAAAAGTTCAGCTGCACCCCCAGCTCCCTAATCCCTCAAATTGGGCCCTTCTAGAATCTTTATGGTCAAGTGGGTTTTATAGAACCCTTGAAATCCCAGCTTCTCTGTATTTGTGTTCTCTCTGACATTTCTTTTTCCTCGAAGCCATGTGGCAGTGCCTGGGAGTAGGTAGCAGGAACTAACAGTTATGGAGATTATATTATGTGCACACACTGTTTTGAGGTAAATATTCTTCTTCTTTCCATTTTATAGACGATTCGGCCACTGAGGCCTAATAAATAACTTACATAAGGTCACAGAAAAGTAGCGGCACTGGAAATCTACCTAAGGAGGTGGGTTTGTTGTGCTCATACTTCAGGGCCTTTCGGGTGTGGTGTCCATCTGTCTCCCCACCCCCTTGGGGGCTGGTGACCTGAATACATTTTTTGACCCTATTTCCTGTTTAGTAAAGTAGGGACGAGACGTTCTTTGAATGAATGAGCTGATAGGAGATGTGGAGGAGACAGATCGGTCTCCAGCCCTTGATAACGTCTAGTGCTCCTACCCTCGCTGAATCATCCCGTAAGCAGGATCCCTCTTTTAACGCCCAGTTCACTGTGGATCCCCAATAACATCAGTTTAAGACAATTATCCAAGGGATGCCCGTCTGCATCGACGAGGCACACTGGCTTGAGTCAAGTTCCACTTGTTCACCTCTGAGTGCTTTCTGTGCCCGGCTACTAAGGAGTTCTCTAGCCCCTCTCTCCGGGTCTGGGACTCCTAACCCCGGGAACCTTCTTCTTACCATGGCATCGTAGCGCAGGGTGTTCATGAAGTGTGCCACTTCGAGACCTTTGTAAACGGTGAACCAGATGGTGCCCTGGTACTGGTCGCCAGCATCCAGCAGCAGCACGTTGGGTTCCTCCCTGCGGATCTGCTGCACCTTGGTGTAGAGCCTCGCCACGCCGCCCACGCACTGGCTGGCGTTGAGGCACTTGGTGGAGTCCTCGCTGGTCTGCTCCAGCCGGCTGTGCACGTCGTTGGTGTGCAGGATCGTGAGCTCCCAGGCTCTGGTTACGGGCCACAGCGACAGCAGCGCGCTCAGCGAGAGGAGCAGCCACTTGGGCGCAGGAGCGGCCGCAGGACGCATGGCTGGCTAGAGCGCGTTGAGCTGGTGGACTGGCCCGGAGCCGGCAAGCTCCGGCCAACCCGGCCTCCGCTAGGCTGCGGGGCGGAATAGGGAGGGGCGGGGCCAGACGCGCCTCCTCCAGCCCCAGGCCCTCCCGCTGGCACTCAGGGAGTCACCCGATCCGACCCTGGCACCCCAGGCACCCGGCAGCGGCTGGCCTGGCAGACACAGCCCGTAGGAACAGAGAGGAGGTTGTTCCTGCGGTGAGCGGGCACCTCGGGTAGCCGGGGTGTCGTAGTCCCCGGAGGCGGTGGTAGCAGCTGTAGGGGCCGCCTAGCCGATCCTCACCTTTTGAAGGCACCAATTTCTCTAGAAGAGTGTTCAGCGTGTGTTGTGCTGTATCTCGTTGCCAGAAAAGAAGAGAGATGGGGTGGGAGAGAGAGGAGTCCAGAGCTCACTCGGGAGGAGCGCTCCGCAGTTGCCTCGGAGGGACCAGGACACAACGAGGGCGGAGATGCTACGTAGGTTTGAGGAGGCAACCGCTCCACGTTGCTCAGATCAGGAATCTCAGAATTCAAGCAATCTTTCGGATGCAGCTTTTCATTTATCCACAGTGAAAACCTTAGCGATTAAAACCCAGGCGGCGCGTGGAGGGCTCTGAATGCTAACGCAGATTCTAGGGTTTAAAGCCCTGACAGCTACGCCGGGCGCTGCTGCCCAGTGCTTTTCCAGCCTTCTTTCCTCTCTGTCCTAATTTTTGAGATTTTGAGTATGTGATGTGCACGCGCGTGGGTGTGTGTGCCGGCGCAAAGCTTATTTTGCAGTAATAGTGGGAATCCATATTTGTTATTAACAAATAGTCATCATCAAATGTAAATCGCTGCACGATTTCCCAGTCTAACGGATTAACTCCTGCGTTTGAATGAAGTATAATCCATAAACCAGCAGCTTTGGAAAAGGAAAGAGAATAAATTTGGTTCCCGTGTGTTCTGCACATTACATAGAAGATATCTAGCTGGGCGGTGGTGGCAACACGCCTTTAATCCCAGCACTCTGGGAGGCAGAGCCAGGCGGATCTCTGTTGAGTTCGAGGTCAGCCTGGGCTACAGAGTGAGTTCCAGGAAAGGCGCAAAGCTACACAGAGAAACCCTGTCTCGAAAAACAAAAACAAACAAACAAACAAACAAAAAAGAAGATCTCTAATCCCCACACATCTCCAGAATGCACCAGGCCAGTCTTATTTCACACACACACACACACACACACACACATTGGGGCATGCCTGTGATCCTAGCACTCAGAAGGCCGAGTCAGGAGAGCTGAGAGTACATGAACAGTCTGAGCTGCATAGCAAGACCCTACCTCACCCACAACTACGCTGTTTTTCAGTTGCAGTAAATATACATCGTATAAATAAATACACATGGCATGGATTATCACTTACTATCCTAAGCACACTGTTTAGTGGCATTAAGGATATTTAATGCCATTCATTTCCCAGAACTTTTTCGTCTTCCCAAGATGGTATTTAAAGTCACTCACTACACAGTGACTCCCACTCCACACGGTGGCTAACACCTGTAATAACAGTACCTGGGAAGTCTGGGCCATATAAAGAGTTCTCTGGCTGTGTTAGTGAAGCTGTCTCAAAAATAAATAAAATAAAACAAAGACGACTCTCCTTTTCCTTCTTTCCAGCACCTCCCCCCTCCCTGGACAACCAGCATTCTATTCCCAGTTTGTTTGGATTTGATCATTCTAAGTGCCTTATATTTGTCCTTTGTCCTTTTTCTTTTTCTGACTGGTTTGTTTCACTTGATCTAATACCTTCAAGACGCAGCATGTCAGCATTTCCTCCCTTTCAGAAGCCAAGTAACATTTCACTCTAGGTGAGTATTTGAACACTCACGTTCATAGCAGCTTGTTCATAAGAGATGAAAGCAGAAACAGATAAAGGTCCATGGCTGATGAAATGGCTTTGAGGCCAGTCAACTAAAAAAAAGCTAAGTTGAGATAAGGACCTGCTATGTTGCCCATCCTCATAAGCAATGAACAGATTCTTCACATCTTCACCAACAAACATCCTTTCCATTTTCTTTTGTTTGATTTGAATGATAGTTATCTTAAGACATGTGTAGTATCTCCTTGTAGTTTCTATTTGCATTTCCCTGTTGGTTGGAAATGCTGAGCACCTTTTTATGAGCTTATGACCATTTGTATCCTTTCTTGTAGACATTTCCTTAAAAAAAAAATTATTAGCCAGGCAATGGTGGCACACACCTTTAATCCTAGCACTTGGGAGGTAAAGGCAGGCAGATCTCTGTGAGTTCAAGGTCAGCCTGATTTACAGAGTGAGTTCCAGGACAGCCAGGGCTACACAGAAAAACCATGTCTTGAAAAAAAAATTTTAATTACACTTATTTATTCATTTTGTGTATATGTGTGTGTGCATATGGCACGTGAAGAGAGAGGTGAGAAGGCAATTTTCAGGGTAGATTCACCCTCTTCACAATGTGAATCTTGGTGATCAAACTCAGGCCACGAGGCTTGCCCACAGAACTGTTTTGATGGCCTTCTTCTGTTCATGTCCTTTGTGTCTGTTTTGGTTGAACTGTAAGGCTTTCTCCTTTTCTTTGACAAAGTTTCATGTAGTTCAAGATGGTCTCCAGCTCATGATATAGACAAGTATGGCCTTGAACTCTAGTCCTCTTCATCCATCTTCCTAGAGCTGGGATTAAAAGCGTGTGTCACCTTGCAGTTTACACAGTGCTGGGGACTGAACCCAGGGCTTCCTGTATGCCAGGCAATTACCCTACCAACTGAGCTAAGTCCTGAGCACTGCAGGGATGCAGTGTATGCAGATACCTAATTTGAAGATATTATTGACTATTCAGTGTTGTGTCATCCTGCAGGAAAGGAGAGCATCAGCATGTCCCTGAAACATCATCCTTTCATTCCCAAGACTCCTACAACATCAAGGAAACAATGAAATAAGACTTAGAGAGACTAGGGCCTTTCAATAAGGACTGTCTGGAGGACCATTGGCTCCCTTTCATGAGTGCTGTGATTGGGGCAAACTGGTGTTATCTAGAAGGGAATGTACTTCCTGCAGGTACACTAAGTCAGCTATGCCGAGCTAGTGTACATGGCGTGTATACCTGGCATGCTGAGTCAGTGATGTCACTGAATGAGTCGTCTAGCTTATAAAACTCTCGTCCCTGTAGTCAGCAGGGTGGATCAAGGAGCTATGAAGATAAGGCTGGCTTGCTGTCAGCAGACTGTGAGAGTGTGTGTGCCCTTGTCCAGCTGTCCACCATAGGAACTTTGCAGCCCAGAGAGCCTCCTGGAACTCTCGGGTAGTTTTCTATCCGGCCCCTTGTCACAGGATGCTGCCTACCTGCTTTGTTCAGCCACAATTCATATAAAGTTTCAATAATCTTTACATCTCACATATGGCTTCCAGGCATTTTCCCCCTTCTCCACAACCTACCCTGACGCTGCTTGGCACAGGTACACTGTAGATGCTACAAATACCTTGCTTTTCCATTGTTGAAACAGAACAGTGTTGATGTACAAATGCATCTATCTATCTATCTGTCTGTCTGTCTGTCTGTCTGTCCGTCCATCCGTCCGTCTGTCTGTCTGTCTGTCTGTCTGTCTGTCTGTCTGTCTGTCTGTCTGTCTTAGTGCTGGTGATTAAACCCAGGACCTTGTGTATTCTCAACATGTGCTCTACCACTGAGCTGCATTTCAGCTCCAACAATTTCAGTTTAGAAGTTGATTTATCTTTTTTCCCCCTTTTCCTGAGTATACTTTTGGTGTCATATCCAAGAAAGTATTGCCAAGGGGCTGGAGGGATGGCTCAACAGTGAAGAGTACTTGCTGATTTTCCACCTGCCCTGGGTTCCTAGTGCCTACCTTGGGTGACTCACAACCACCTGTAACTCCATTTCTAGGGGATCTGATGATTTATTCTGACCTCTTCAGTCACCTGCACACATGTGTTGTAAATACATACCTTCAGGCACACATACAAACACATAAAATTAATTAAACAAATAAATCTTAAAAAAAACTATTGCCAAAAATGATGCCAGAAGACCATTCTCTTATGTTTTCTCCTAAATGTCCTACTGTTTTGCATTTTACATTTAGACTTGAAACCCAAAATTAAGCTAGTTTTTAACATGAAATGAGGAGAAAATTCATGGTTTATGGTTTTGCATATAGATATCTAGTTTTCCAGTTTTTATTTGCTGGAATGACATCCTTGGCAACCCTACTTTAAGGCATGGTATTTGAGGCTCAGAGAACGTCAGTGCTTGTGCCCAAAAGACACTGCAGATTAGGAACAGTAAAGCCTGGGCCCAACAAAACGCCCAGTTCTGTAACGCCCCCTGGGGTGTAGCCCTTGCTAGTCCCCCCCCCATGGGGTTTCTCTGTGTAGCTTTGTGCCTTTCCTGGATCTTGTTCTGTAGACCAGGCTGACCTTGAACTCACAAAGATCTGCCTGCCTCTGCCTCCCGAGTGCTGGGATTAAAGGCCTGCACCACCACTGCCCGGCAGCCCTTGCTAGTTTTGTGCCCCTCCTTTCAGACTTTCTAGAAGCTGAGTTCTGTCATTTGTTTTGCTTTGTTTGTTTTACTGTTTTTTGAAAGAGGGAAAAAACCAACAACAAACAAAACCCTCCACATTTAACAAAAGAGTTGCCTTCCATCCTCCCTGCAATCGTGTGTGTGTGTGTGTGTGTGTGTGTGTGTGTGTGTGTGTTGGGGGGTTGATGTCACATCTGGCTCTTATGTTGGTACTGAGGATGAACTCAGATCCTCATGTCTGAGCAGCAAGAACATCACTGATTGAACCTTCTCTCCAGGCCTCAGCTCGTAGAATATGAATGCAAAGCTATTAGCTCTACTTCTAACTTCTATTTGGAGTTCATAGTCATTCCCCTAACTTCCTTTTTCTGTTCCAGGATGCAATCCAAGATTGAATTCAGTTTGCTCATGTCCTTAGTCTCCTCTAACCTGTGATACTTTCTCAGCTTTCTTTGTCTTGTGTAACTGTGGCATTAAACAGTTCTTAAAAATTACACGTATTTATTATGTGTATGGAGGAAG